AACCCTCAAAATTGATCTAACTTTTTGAGAAAATAGCCGAGATATGTAAAAACCTATTTTCGGGCCGGACGAGGTGAACGCGCGAAAGGAACGATATTTCGTGACCCTTAACAATTTAGGTTTCAAACCACGTCCAATCGATTCCTGATGTTTAAAAACCCCTAAATACGACGTCTAACTTTGTTCAAATCGACCAAAAAGAAGGCAAAGATATGGCAAATAAGTTTCGGTCCCTTACCGAGGCCATATGGGGGGCGGGGTGTTTCCCAGGGTCCTAAATTTTTTGGGCTCCTCAAGAAAAATACTTCAGTTGAGGAACATATGAACCAGATTTGATACCCAAAAAATGTCTTTCATAATTTGGCAGAATAGAATGTGCTAAAGCGTCCTGATACTCCTAACTATCATGCCCGTTAAGCCGCGGTCGAAGCTTGATAGAGAGTGCGCGTTGTGTGCGTGCTGTGTTTAGTGTAATACACGTGGTGGTTTTTCAGTGCAAGTTCAATGTGTGGGTGTGTGTGTGTGTTGTGTGTGTGTGTGTGTGTGTGTGTGTGTGTGTAGTGTATGGTTGTGCTATTTTATTGCGGTCCGCGTGCGGCGTGCGCGTGTGTGTATGTTTGTGTAATACCACCGGGGTGTTTTTTAAGTGTAATGCGTGTGTACGTGTGCGTGTGTCCGTGTGCGTGTGCGTGTGCGTGTGTGTGTGAGAGAGAGAGAGAGAGAGAGTGGTGGTTGTGGTGTGTGTGTGTCGTGCGCGGCACGCGTGTGACAGCGTCGCTGTGTGTGCGCGCGCCGAATGTTGTGTGCGCGCGTGCACGCGTGCGTGTGTGTGTGCGCGCGCGTGTGTGTTTGTGTAATGCTACCGGGGTGTTTTTCAAGTGAGATGGCCTTGACTATATTGGTTAGAGCTGACGCCGGTTTTTACGCGGTTCAATTTCTACATAAATTCATTCGTGTGAAATCGCAGGCATACATAGAAACACGAAGGAGATGATATTGCGGAATAATAAAAAAAAATTCTCTATTAATTTTTTACTTTCATCTCTCATGCCTGCGTGTAATGGGATTAGTTTAGTGTGAACGTAGCCTAGGTCTTCATTTTAAATTCGCGAAATGTGATATGAACTCTCGCTTAGCAGAGAACGAATAATTTCGCATTTGCGCTTTCTCGTTGTTTGTCGTGAAAACTGAATGAAATCGAGGTTTCGCGCAAGTAGGAAATCGTCGAATGTTCATTTTGTATTTTGAGTGGTCTCAGTTGCGAGTTGCCATTTTTATTACTTTATTCAAATGCTACACGAAAGATCGTCGTGTATATGAGAGCAGACCACTATTAAATCCTTCATAGGATCCTATACTTGAGAATTGAATTTCAGGAGCTGAAAAATAGTATTTCGACCGTTTTCGGCCGAGTGGCAATATTAAAGCTAGGTAGCCATGTACTTCAGCTGTGCACCATTAGAGTTATGACATATGTTGTCCGGCGTTTTAAAAAAATATCGCGAATTTACTAACCGACACCACATTTGTGCCTGAAAAACAGCCGCGCAGTCGAATGGGGGCCGTACATTGAAAGAATTCGTTTTAAATTACCAGTAACTATCCACCCATCTCAATGTGCATGTCATTGCCACACACGATAGCCAACCTAAAGAATGCAACCACAGAACGTCACGTCAGCACGAGCTGCGGGCCCTCCGATTGGTCGGCCGATGACGCGTCACATCCTCTAACCGAACAGGGTAATGAACCGGTAGTGATTTAATAGTGGTCACGTGTCATATGTCGACTTTCGGTCACCTTTCAAAATTGGGCAGAAGAGATGCGCCTACTATAACGTATTTCTCCCCCTCTTACGGAAGAAAAAAAAATACATAGAAAAAACAAGAAATGGAGGGTACATGTGTAGCACGAACATACCTGTGTTTGGTGTGAGTGGTTGCAATTTACTTGTTCAATTGCAATTCAAATGTCAAATAGTGAAAGTTCAGCAAAATGAAATGGATTTATTTGTATTTCGCATAATTAAGTTTCCTTGCCGGATACCCATACATTAGCTAATAGAGTTTCTGTGGAGGAATTACAGCATTATAATGCACAATACGTGCCGTCTGTGTCGCTAATAATTATATTAAACTAGAAAGCAGCCAATAGCCACTAGTGTCATAGTACCCTAGACTAATAGTTTTTAGCTTAGTTTTAGTTTCCTTTTCAGAATTTACACCTAACAATAACATTAGAAAAACTAGACAGAGGGCACTCACGGAGAGTGCATACCTCCGCCAGCATGTACCATGTATGTGTTACGAGCTGGCTCGCCGCTCGCTGCTGGCTGCTGCTGACTGACTTGCCTGCTGCTGACTCGCCGCTCGCTGGTGGCGGCTGCTGACTTGCCGCTCGCTGGTGGTTGCTGCTGACTCACTCGCCTGCTGCTGACTCGCCACTCGCTGACTCGACGCGCTATCGATCGCGCTGCGCGGACTGGACACACACACACACACACACACACACACACACACACACACACGAGACCGATTACATTACCTCTCCTCCACTCCGTTACTCCGTTAACTCCGTGGGCGGAGGTAATAACGAGAAAACGGGAAATGATGACAGGTTATTAAATATATTACACTATTAACTAATTAATTAATTAATTATTAACTAATTAATTAAACTATTGTCTAGAATAAATTAACGTTCTGTACATTCATGTCAGTAAGTATGATTGCATAATCTAAAAATTTCTTGAAATTTTAATGAAGGTAATGTTTATTATTGCTTATGCTTATGTAGACACGTTAAGGTTACCTCTGTTACTAAAGTTTTGAAACGCAGATCCATATGCGTAGCTAATTCATTTCGCCTGGGGTGTTGCAAAGTCACACGCGGTTAGTATTCTGGCAATTCACCGTAGGCAGTTCACTATTAGCCATTGGCATTGTAATGGCAACTAGACAGAGGGCACTCACGGAGTGCATACCTCCGCCAGCGACATACGCCATACGCCCCATGTAACATGTATGTGTTACGAGCTGGCTCGCCGCTCGCTCGCTCGCTGGCTGGCTGGCTGACTCGACGCGCTAATATCGATCGCGCGAACACACTAAAGCCTAGTGCACACACCCGAGCAAAACGGGAAATTTTGTTTTCCAGCGTTTCGCGTTCTGCTCGGCGAGCAAGCGCACACACGCCACCCTACACAGCACACAGCTGAGCAAAACATACAGAAACACTGCGTACAGCGCCGCTGTCACATGTCCTCAAAAATAGCCATCCAATGGACATCCAATTTTGTGTGTCATGTGATATTTTTAAGGATATTGATTGGAGACCGTCTGTGGCGTTTCGCTGTGTAGTTGTTCGTAGTTGTTGTGTAGTGTGTTGTTGTTGCTCGCCGAGCAGAACGCGAAACGCTAGAAAACAAAATTTCCAGTTTTGCTCGGGTGTGTGCGTTGTGCTTAACACACGAGAGCGATCACATAACCTCCGTTGGGCGGAGGTAACTACGTTGGTCTGTGGTTGAGCAACTGCCCTTTTGTCTCCCCCTGTCTGCTGGCTATGGCTGTGAGATAGGTATGTGTATATCACACATCATTCGCATCATATAACCGTGGGCGGAATAAGGGTTAGAAATGATCAATTCCGATGCATTTACACGCGCGCACACACGCACGCACGCACGCGCGCACGCACGCACACCCAGACACACACACACACACACACACATATATATCATATAGTAGTATAGTATCGCTAGCGCGATAGAAATAGATAGAGAGAGACAGAGAGAGATAGATAGAGAGAGAAGAGAGAGAGAGAGAGAGAGAGAGAGAGAGAGAGAGAGAGAGAAGAGAGAGAGAGAGAAAGGGAGAGAGCGGGAGAGAGAAAGAGAGAGCAAAAGAAGGTCTCTACTTACACTACTTACTCTACTCACAGCCATTGGTGAGCGGCATAGTTGCAGAGCAGTTGAACAGCTCCTGCTGGCGTCATCGCGTTGTTGGATGTAGACTTATTCCCCAGCTGCATGGCCAGTAAATAAGGTACGGTTTTTTAATTACGGGACAGACAGCACTGCGCTTGCACGCACACACACACACGCACGCACGCGCACACACGCACGCACGCACGCTTGCGCGCGCGCACACACACACACCGCCTTGCGAAATAGTCAGGCTGCTTGTTGGGAACGAACCATCACACGTTAGAAAGCATTCGCGTGTATGGTGAAAGTCGCTGCATTTAAGCTCCTCTGAGCCAGTACCGTACACGCTGCATGAAGGAAGAATCTAATTACTTTGGCTAGTGTCTGGAGTTAAAGTTCTGAGTCTAAGTTAGTCGGCTAGATTTTCGAAAGTGTCGCACGAAAGCTGTTGCCTACCTTGCTTTGAACTTGCCTGATATAGCCTAACTTGCTCTGGCCTTGTCTGACTATACTTCGACCTTGCGTGACGTTATATCGACTTTGCTTGACCATAACTGACAATGTTTTAACCTACCCTGATCATATTTCGACATTGCCCGACCTTGTCTGATCTTCCCCAACCTTGCCGACCTTGTCGATTCTTCTCCAACCTGCCCGACCTTGTCTGATCTTCCCCAACCTTGCCCGACCTTGTCTGATCTTCTCCAACCTTGCCCGACCTTGTCTGATCTTCCCCGATTTTGCCCGACCTTACACAACCTCACAGACCTACCCGACCTCGCCCGACCGGTTACCTCTGAGACCTCGCACGACCTTCCCGACCTCGCCCGACCTTTCCCTGATTTTCCCCGACCTTCCCCGACCTTCGGCCGACTTCCTCGACCTTCCCCGAACCTTCTCCACGCACGTCGCCCTGACCTTTCCGACTTCCTCCGGACTTTGCCTCTACCTATCCCGACCTCCCCTACCTTCCCATGCAAACTTTGCTCAAATTTGCCTAACCTCCCCCGACCTTTCCCGACCTTCCCCGACGTTACCCGACCCCGTCTGACATCTTGCCGGACATCCGTCGCAGGACGTCGCGAGCAAGCTGTCGGATCTGATGTGGAACGACTGGAGCACAGCGGTGCGTCACGCCGCCTCGCAGACGCTCGGCCGACTCGGTGAGGGCCGGCACGTGCATAACAACCTGCTGCACCTGCTGCAGGCCGGCAACGAGACGGCACGCGCAGAGGTGCTCGAGAAGATAGGGCGCATAGGTAGGATGGATGGTGGGGATAGTAGGGTGGATGATGGGGGCATAGGGCACATAGGTAGGGTGGATGATGGGGGGATAGGTAGAATGGATCATGGGGGGATAGGGCGCATAGGGAGGATGGATGATGGGGGGATAGGTGCAAGGCTAGGGTGGATTGATGGGGGGATAGGGTGCATAGGTAGGGTAGATGATGGGGGGATAGGGTGCATAGGTAGGATGGATGATGGGGGGATAGGGTGCATAGGTTAGGTGATGTAAAAAATAGGGTGGCTAGGTAGGGCAGACTATCAGGGGTGGGGGGGTGAAATAGGGTAGCTAGGTAGGGTGGCTGCTGGGGTGAAATAGGGTGGATGGGCGACGGATTGGCTATATCCTGGGAGCAAACCCTGATTTTGGCGAACCGCACTGAGAGTAAGTTTTTTTCTTGTTGACTTCTGTAGACCTAGGTTGTGGTCTTTCCACTTTCCTGGGTGATGACCACATCGTCCGTCTACCTGAGCATTCTGTATAACCCTTTGGTTTGAGAGCGTCAACTCAAAAATTGGCGAAAAATAGGGTGGGAAAAACACAAAAGTCTACTAGATCTTTTGTTTTAAAGTCTAATGGATCATGTGACCACTTCAAAATTTTGGTATTTAAGAGCTCTTCTAATGATAGTGAATAATAAGTCACAGAGGTCAAAGGTCACCAATTTGACTTCCCTCGAAATCTCTGAATTAATGCCTTTAGCACCCTGCCTGGCCAAGAACAGGCTCTAAGGTGCTTTTTACTCGCTAAATTTCTGTTCAAAGAGATGCCCGCTATCATTTTAAACCACCCATGTTCAACGATAGTGCCATATTGAGCAACCTATACAAAAAAAGCAAAGTGAGTGCTAAAAAGCTGTTTTGATTACCCGAAAAACGTTGATAACGCTACCAGTAACAGATCTGGTCGATCTAGGAGGCAACCATTGCTCCATCCCACAAATTGCAAGGGGAAATCAAGAGGCTTAGTCCTAGATTTGTGCATATGTGGCCAAACTGACGGGTCAAAGGTCAATACAATACACAGTAACTCAGATCAGTTTTTGATGACATGACGCATCATTTAAATAACCAGCCCATAGTAGCGTCCATTATAGTTCGTTTAAACCCAAAAAAATTCTCATTATTGACGAATCGTCAGGCATCCTAGGTTCCAATGTTGGCACCGTCTACAAGTGTCCTGAGCGAAATAAGAATATGGTAGTCCCATTTTTGGTAAGAAGTGTTTCCAGCTGTCCAACTCTAACCATGCAGCCCTCTCTAGAGACAATCAGGCTGTTAAGCAAGTTAACAAAACATCGGTGTATCCCCAGAAAGCGAGAAGATGGGCATTGCCCATGACCCTGGCAAACACACCACCCAAAAGGATAGTGAATACTCGTAAATTAACTGGCAAATTGCAAGCTGAGGTCAATGTCCAGAACCCTTCCATATTGAAAGAAACCAGATGAGGAATTTGAAACAAAAATGGCCAGACGAGATTCATGGAACCATCTCCCAAGAAGTTGATTAGCAATGACCTGTGAGGCAAGCAGGGAGTATCGCTCATTGGGACAACAATATAACGGACTAAATGCCATTAGTGCACGGGCATTGGTCTGCGAGCGAGCGCGAGATATTGATATCAAGCATGTTCTCGCCCCATGAACTTCACCAGTGCCAAACACGAAGTTAACCACGATGGTATGAGGATTGGCCACAGAACAAGTCACAGCTAAAAGAAGAAGTCTCCAAGTAAACAGTAATCGAGCAGAAAACCAAGCATGACTGATCGTGATGGGATGACGTTCTGCTTTGCTTGGTGATCCACTGCGACGCGAGGCGTACAGTTGAGGGATATGTTCCAAGTGGAAGGCAATGTATTCAAAGACCCTTGAAGATTGATGAGCTGACCTAGTATGTCGACATTACAGAGATTTAGCACGAAATCGTGGCCAGGGAGGAAGAAGAGCACGGCGCCCAGTAAGAGTCTTTCCATCTCACCTGAAGACAATCCCTGCCAGCGGCCAGAGGTTGACCTGACTGTCACTGAAAAACAAAGAACAGATCATCCAAGCATCTATGATGAACTTCTAGGACAGATCTCCCCACAAACGCACAGGCATAACACAACTAGTACTAGCAGCAGAAAGCAACACTCACTTGAAATTCCAAATGCAAAGGATCCTAGGAAGACGTCATGACCTCACAACGACCCATGAGAGAGCGACCAATATTAGTGTCCAACAGGTAATTGCGGGCAGTGAGAGAAGGGAAATCCATTAGCATGTGATGCCGATACACAGATTGTTGTCCCTAACCAGTCTACTAGTAGATCGATGACCTCAAGAGTCCCATCCACATGGAAATCACCAGTGAACCGTAGGGACGAGTGACAATGGTGAGACCGCAAAAAACACCACCAGACATTCGCTTCAAAATCTCCTTCAAGCTCACGCCCTGTAGGTGCCGACACGTCCGCATACTTCCGGCATGGTAAAGAAACGTAAATCAATCCTTAGGGACGCACACCTTGTCTGCAGTTCGACGTAAGCTCGCTTAACTGCTGATGCTAACAACCAAAGGGCCACAACATTCGTATCACATGCTATGGCAAGAAAATATCTCGTGACAGTCACAAGGTGCGCATTCAGCTGGCTTGCTAAGCAAGAGGCAAGGGTCGTCACCGTCGTTCCAACATTTTCACTGCTACCCCTACGTCGAAGCCTCTATAAAAAATGTAAACACCGTCACACTACCACCGCCATTCTTTGCGATCACTCAGGAAAAACAGATCCCCAGCTCCTCTGTTGGACCCCAAGAGGAATTGATGGATGAAGGAAAAGACCAAAGCACACACCTTCACGCTGCAGAAAATGCCTTTTGGCCCCAGAATATATGCCTTCGCTTGATGAAATTGTTGTCGGTGATCGTCCATGCTCCAAAAAGTGGGCCATCGCCGCAAAGCAGTTGGCACTTAACCATGCGGTCACAATGTTGTGTGCTGCTACAGCATGGTGTGGTTCGCTAATAGAGGGCTGATGTTAGAGCTGGAATGAAAGACCTTCTTACCAAAAAATAGGACTACCATATCTTATTTCGCCTGAGACAATAGTAGACAGGCCAACATTTTGACACAGAGCATGCCTTAGTTTATGAAAATACCAAGTATTAATGAGAATCCCATTTATTAGAAAAAACGAATAAATGAGAGCTACCTAGGCTGGTATTAAACGGATGCCAGTCAGTTAAATCGAAAACCAACTGACTGCGTTAACTGTCTACTTGAGACTTTGACCTGTCAAGCTTTGGCAAAACTATGTCAAAATCTAGGACTACCAGCCCTCTGACTGTCCCCATTGCAATATCTGGGGAGCAAATGGCTTGGCTCTAGATCGACCAGATCCTGATACTATAAGCGTTATCAACTTTTGGTAATAAAAACAGCTAATTTAGCACATCCCTTGTCTTCTTTTGTAAACGGTGGTCATACATTCAACATCATGAACATGCGGCAAAGTTTAAAAAGATAGCAGGCCGCATCTCCCTTGAACAACATTTAGGGTAAAAACACCATTATAGCCTGTTCTTGGCCAAGGCAGGAGTGCCTAAAGCAATACGAAGATTTTGAGGAAGGTCAAATCATTGTGCTGACCTTTTGAGCCTCTAGTGACCTAGATTATCACCTATCTTAGAAAGAGAGCCTTAAATACCAACATTTTTGAGTGGACACATGGATCCATTAGCTTTAAAAAAACAGATCCTAGTGAAGACTTCGTTTTCCCACCCCCTAATTTTTCGCCAGTTTGAGGTTGAAGACGCTCTCAAACACAAAAGGAATTATAGAAAATTGCTCAAGTGGTGACGGTGGTCATCCACCTTGAATAGTAAGACCACGACTTAGTCCCTACAAGAACACAAATGAAATAAAACTTTAACTCGCAGCTGCATATGACCCCCTGTCTCCCGGACTAACCTAGGTAGGGCAGCTGATGGAAGAAAATAGGGCGGTTATGTAGGATAGCTGACATTGTTGTAGCATCTGTGTGACATCCGTCCGACATTAATTTCACATCTGTATAAAATATCCTAGCCTGTATGACATCTTTGTGACATGTGTGTGACATTCGTGTGCGACATCCCCATTACATCTCTGGTCGCCCATCTGTCGGCAGGTGTGATGACGGCCAAGCTGCTGCCATCGTTCCTGCGCTGCTTCCAGAGCGAGTTCGTGTCGGTGCGTGTGCGTGCGTGCGAGGCGGCGGCCAGGCTGCTCTCGCGGGAGCCCCGCATCGTAGCTGAGCTGTTAGAGCTAGCCATGTACGACGGCAGCTGGAGGGCAAAGGCACACGCCATCAAAGGTGAGGGGTGAGGGGGGAGGCGGGGGTGGGTCCCGCCCGCCCTGCTCCGTTCCTCAATTTCTCTCTCTCGTTCTCGCTTGTTCTCTCTCGCTTCCCCCTTCTTCTCTGTCTTTCTCGCTCTCTTTCTTTCTCTCTCTATCTTTATCATATACATATATGTATGTGTTATCGCTTCTATCATTGTATGACAGTATGACAGTATGATCAAACCAAAAGAAGTGCAAAACAAAACAGTCAGTATAAACAGCGTAAAAAATAACCATCTTATTAACTACGATTATATGAATACGTGCGAACTTTGACGACTGCCCCCTATAGTATCGCACACTCCTCGCGTGTTTCACAGCGCTCGGTGAACTCGGTGACCCCTCGCCGGACATCCGGGACTGCCTGCTCTGGGCGCTTCGCTTCGAGTCGGCAGCGGGCGTCCGCGCTGAAGCCTGCCACGCCCTCGTGCAGCTGCAAATCACTGACCCAGAGGTCATCAAGGTCATGCTGGATCGTCTGTGGCTGGAGTCGAACGAAGTCGTAGAGAGGTAAGTTTGTAATATTACTTGGTCAATGTTTCACGTTGTAAATTTTGATTATAGTAAAGCTCCTTTACTATATCATTTGCTGCTTACTAAATTGGGCAAGAGAGTTAAGTTTTGGATAATAGTATTATATAGCTCGATCCGGCCCGTTACTATATCCTTTTCTGCTTACTAAATTTGGCAAAAGAGGTAAGTTTGGATAATAGTATGATGTAGCTCCGGCCCGTTACTATATCCTTTGCTGCTTACTAAAATCGGCAAGAGAGGTAATGAATTTGGATGATAGTATGATATCTCCGTTACTATATCCTTTGCTGCTTACTAAATTGGGCAATAACGCTGCAGCGGTATATCGTATAGCAGCGATTCCACAGTGATTTGCATAAATTTACATACTCAGCAGAAGTCGCATGTGAACTCACAGGTGATGAAACGGCGTCAGCGCGCGCATTATAGCAATTAAATATTATAAAGTCTTACGATGTACTGATGTCGCACGTCCTCTGCTACGACATCTGGACATCTGAATAATCGACGTCTGCATTCTAGCTGTGTTGTATTATAGCAGACAAAGCTGGTTAAACTGAAGCGCGATGTAGACGTGTTATATTTATGTGGCTTACCACACGCCATCTTGGCAATGTCCGCAAGGATCAATAACTTCTTTTGGTCCAAGTCTATAATGTGATTGATGCATAGTTATGCCAGCGCGGGATGATTAGGGCATCTGATCACGATTAAGGTAATTAGAAATTAATCATGTAATTAGAAATGATTATTCATCTGTCATCGTCATTCATATATGTATATTACTCATATATCATATGCGCAAAGTATATACAAAGGTTCTATTTAGCAGATATATCTCTCCTCCCCTTTTCGTTGAATCGTACCATCGGTTTGGGATTATCACGCATGATTACGTTCTCCCCACTCTCCCGTAATTAAGCGCGACCTGACACTAATTCGCTCTAGTTTCTTTCGCAACGCTGACTAATGTTAATAGGCCGACGTTACGAGCGATGATGGCATGCACGGGTGTAATTGTAATCCGCATTCAGGGCCTCGTCACGCGGCTGTCATCTCTCCCTGACGACCTGACATTGCACTCGTGAGTGTAAAGCTGGGTTTACGTACACTGCCAACTTTGTGTTGGCGAAT